GGATTGAGGGAACTTTTGGTCTTTCAATAGATGCCCATGCGTATTTTTCAATTATCCTTCGCATCATTGTTAATCCTGGATGGCCTAACCTATCATGCCATAAATTGAATGTCCCAGGATCACAATGTTTTCCTTTGATTACCATATTTGATTCAATCATATGTATATATGTATAATGCAGACCGGAATCAAGTGTTGGTAGTTTTTCAAGCACATGGTTTTTGTCTATAATATACATATATTTCTTATTTTCAATGGTCACAGTTTTTGTGTCATATCCTTTGAAATATATGTCATTGAAACTTAGTAAGTTTCTATTAGACTTTGGAGAAAATAAGGCATTTTCTATAGAAAAACTTGTACCATTTGGTAATATAAAATGGGCTTTCCCAGTTCCCTCTATCAAGTCTGCAGGACCTGATATTGTATGTATGACCGATTTTGTTGGTACTAATTTTGAAAAATATTTCTTTGATTTTAGAATAGTATGCGTACTACCACTATCTGCTATACAAAGATCCCCAACCTTTTCTTGGTGTTGTGCTCCAGTTGGACTCATATTAAACTTCACATATAAAAGGGATAATAAGTGAATAAACATAATCATAATTATTATTAAAAAGAAAGTTCATTTATTGTAGGAAAGACATTACATGAAAAACAAACGAAGGAAAAACAGTTTTACTAGAACAACAATAGATTTTTTTTTAGTTTATGTCTTCCATGTCATTGCAGAAATCAGCAACATTTAGCGGAGTGATTTCAACATTATCAATGAGGTTTGCTTCTTTTCCTTTTCCTTTAATGGACTCTTGATAAAGTTGACAAAGATGTGCAGGTGTGCGACAGGTCCTTGACCAATGGCCTGTGCTACTACATCTATAACATGAACCATCAGATTTTTGTGATGTCCCAGTGTCATGCCTTGTCACTTTGGCCTTATCTTGTGTGTGGACATTGTTTCTTTGTGAATATTGGTAATTATTCCTTATCTGGCCACGACCACGATTATTACCTTGTCCACGACCAGAATTATGGTTCTGATTATGGCTTTGGTTTCGATTAAAATAGCCACGGCCTCATCCTCGACCACGACCACGCCCTCGTCCACGTGTATTGTTCCGATGACCATCAGTATTTGTAGCATTTGCTTCAGGAAGTGCTACTGATCCCATTGGACGAGATTCATGGTTTTTCATCAAGAGCTCATTGTTTTGCTCTGCAACAAGCAGACATGCATTTAGTTCAGAATATCTTGTGAACTTTTGCATCCGATATTGTTGCATCAAGGTAATGTTTGTTGCATGAAATGTTGACTAAGTTTTCTCCAATATATCTTCATCAGTAACCTCTTGTCCACAATATTTGAGTTGTGAACATATTCTTAACAAAGCTGAGTTGTATTCATTTACTTTCTTGAAGTCTTGAAACCTTAGTGTTCTCCATTCATCTCTAGCATTTGGAAGTATAACTTTGTTTTGATGATCAAATCTTTCTTTCAAATGATTCCAGAGAATACTTGGATCAGTAACATCAAGATATTCAAATCTCAACATTTCATCAATATGCTTACGAAGGAAAACTTGTGCTTTTGCTTTGTCTTGTGCCAAGCAATTATTAAATTCATATATAGTATTTGAGATACCCATGGATTCAAGATGCATTTTTACATCTATCATCCATGGCACATAGTTTTTCCCACTAACTTTAAGTGCTGCAAACTCGAGCTTTGCAATGTTGGACATATTGTAACTACAAATTTTAGACAAAATAAAAGTTAAAATCCATTTATTTCAATAAATATTACACAAAAAAGAAGCGGTAAAGCTAACATTGCATACAAGCCTAAAAGTAGTTGAAATTCCATATTATCTTCGACGTTAAGAATTGGGATGAAAAGTAAGATGACTATTATAGTCATGATTATAACAAACGGATGAATCATCTTGAAGCTTGATTTCTTGAAATTGATTTATTTGATACAAGAGAGAAAAATTTGTTGTGGGTAAAATAAGCAGGGTAAAGATGTTTATTTATGGTAAAAAATATAGCCGTTGTTTTTGCTGTTTATAACCGTTGCATATATATTCCCGTTGTGTATGTATGTATATGTATTTTATAAATCATGTAATAAGACTTATAACTAATACATAACTTTACTAATTAGAAACATAAATAAATATTAGTAAATGTTTAAATAAAATTATCAAGAGTATCTAAAATATAAATAAACATTGACATGTATAAATAAATATAATTTAAATGTTAGTATGCACAAATAAAAGTTAGTAACGTAATATAAATGTTAGTATGCATAAATAAAAGTTAGTTGCATAATGTAAATGTTAGTTTGCATAAATAAAAATTAGTTGCATAATGTAAATGTTAGTATAAAAATTAGAGTACATAAAGAAATGTTAGTATAAGAAATAAAAATTGTTAGTAGTCCATAATGTCCATAATATATAAGTTTCATTAATTCATTAGTATTATTATTTTAATATGATTGAGGTTTTTATAATTAATAGTGTTTTTACTTAGTAATACATACATTGATTAAGATAGATGTGATTTTCTACTTGTTTAGTAACTTTGATTAGAGCTTTCGTGCTGATAACGTGTTATAAATTTGACATAATTAAAACAAGATTAATAAAACTAAACTAATAACCTTAAGAAAGAAGAATGAAGATTTGGAGAGAATTTGATAACTTATATAAAGTATTCAAATTGGTGTGTCTATTACATATGTAATGATTGCTATTTATACTAGTTAAGTTACTAGATATGATTAATAAGTTCTAACAAATATTTGACATATTTGCCATAAGAGTTGAAAATAACTCTTACACATTTCACATTAGGGTAGAAAATGTTGTCATTCAATTATTTACAACATATATATATATATATATATATATATATATATATATAATATATATATATATATATATTATATATATAATAGAAAAAAAAGTGTTGCACAATTTTCTTTTTCTTGTTACACTCGTTTTTTCTCCGTATTATTATAATAGGTTTTAATTTTTAATTTTAATATATATATATATATATATATATAATATATATATATATATATATATATATATATATAGATATATAATATATATATATATATATATAGAAAAGAAAAAGTGTTGCACAATTTTCTTTCTTTCCTTTTTACACTCGTTTTTCTTAGGTGTTAATTTTTAATTAAAATTGCATTAGTTAAGTTCTACTTTTGTTTTTAGAAGTTCATTTTTTACCCGGATAGTTCATATATATATATATATATATATATATATATATACGAGATCGGTTGAGAACTCATAGTTTCCCGAGAACCTGAGAACTAAAGGTGGAGCTTTAGATCAAAATTATCTCATTAAGGACATGATCGTAATCTTACCGATCTCTATTAATGTTTATTTTTTTTTTGTTATTGGACAAAATTTACATAATAAATCAAATTTCGGAATTTTTTTTTTTTTAATAATATTTTTTTGAAAATGGAGTTTCTTTATTTTTTTTTCAGAAAAAATGAATTTAAAACAAAAATGGAAAAATGTAATTTTTTCAAAAAAACTGCAAAAAAAATTTTAAAAATAAAACTACACATTTTTTTAAAAAACTGATTTTTTAAAATAAAAAAAAACTGCATTTTTTTTCAAAAAAAAAAACTACAATTTTTTTTTTAAAAAAAAAACCTGTAATTTTTTCTTTAAAAACTGCATTTTTTTTCAAAAAAAATTGTAATTTTTTCAAAAAAAAAAAACTCCAATTTTGTTTAAAAAAACCCTGCAATTATTTTATAAAAAAAACTGCAATTTTTTCAAGAAAAAACTCCAATTTAAAAAAAAAAAAACTGCATTTTTTGAAAAAGTAAAATTTTTAAAAATCGGTAACTTAAAAAAAACCTAGAATATTAAAAAAAAAACTAATTTTTTTAACAAAAAAACTCAACGTTTTTGGTTCATATATGCGTAGTTTTTCAATATTCATAAGTAATCATAAAATATCTTATTTTTATTAATCAATCTATAAACATAATGGTACAAGTATTTTGTTCGATACAAAATAATATATAAAAATAAAAAAAGCTACAAAGATTCATAATATTATCATTTCTTCATATCAAGATTTCCATATTTTCTTTAATTTATCACTTTTTGCATTTTCAAAATTTTCCACAAATTCTTTCAAATCTACAAGAAAATAAAAAAAAATGATTAATGCAAGAACACTCACAAAAATGCATATGTATATATCATGTAATATTCACATTCGATTATATAATGTGATATTCACATTCGATTATATAATGTGATATTCACATGTGATTGTATATTTTAAGATTCAAATGTGAAATTGACAAGAAAATTTTAAAAAATAATTAATGAAAAACACAAACACAAAATGCATGTGTGCATATAAACGAAATTCATATGTGATTCACTTGTCATTTACATGTGAATCACATGTAATTCATATGTTATTCACTTGCGATTTACATGTAAATCACATGTGATTCATATGTGAATTACATGTGATTTACATGTGAATCACATGTAATCCATATGTGATTTACATGTGATTCATATGTGAATGACATGTGATTTACATGTGAATCACATTAATTCATATGTGATTCACTTTTGATTTACATGTGATTCATATATGATTTACATGTGAATCACATGTAATTCATGTGTGATTCACTTTTGATTTACATGTGAATTTTTTGTGATTCATATGTATATTACATGTGATTTACATGTGAATCACATGTAATTCATATGTGAATAACATGTGATTGATATGTGAATTACATGTAACTTTTATCGATCGGACATCTTAATGTCACTAACCCCTATAGGTTACTGTAGAGGAGTAACATGTGATTCAAGAACAATAATTAATCAATCAAAAAGGAACAAATTTTTAGTAACTTTTTATAATTCTTTTTGAACAAATGAAAAGTTTTAGTCAACTTGAAAATTACCTGCATTTTGGCTTTGAATCTAGTTTGACCAGCTTGTTCTATATGTTCTGATCTAACCATGTCAACAAGCATAATTCGTCCACCATATTCATCAAATATATCCTCCACAACAATCTGTTAGTTTGGATCATCTGGTCTGCACCATGAGGTGGACTCATTCCAGGCTTTTGTTTTAATCCCACTTAAGCTGCAAAATGAAATTACATATCAAAACTAACTCTAGTAATCCTTTACAGAGATTATAAAAGATAAGACCTATCATGCCAAATCATCTCAAATAATAGAGTAAAATAAAAAACAAGGAAGTTATGTGGAAAGTGGGATCATTGTTTAGGAGCATAAAATCCAGTAGCACAAGCACAAAGCGGATGATATGCAACATAACATGCATTGTTTGAACACTTCAACATAATTCATAAATAGAAAAATTCACAGTTAAATGCAATGCATTCTAAGTAATGATAACAAGGGGTTACCTGAATACAAGCTCCATATGGAACACCATAAATGTTGCATAAAAGCTCTATCTTGTTGCATATCCGTCTCATCCTATGTTGTTAATCATTTCCTATATATGAAGCAAAAAAAAAAAAAACATTTTCACATTAAATTCAGCATCACGACTGTTTTATCGTAAGATATGTGTACATATTTTGTTTACATAACTAATAATTTGTTTTTTTTAATAAAAATGGTGATGACATGTAGTCATAGCCTTGCCATGAAAATGAAAAAGCTCATATGGAAATCAAAAGGCTGCTAACAGTATAATATATGTGAGCATACTAACCGGTCACAGAATATATATATATATATATATATATATATATATATATATATATATATATATATATATATATATATATATATATATATATATGTGTATGTGATTGGCTAATTAGTCACCAAAAATATAATTACAAGTGGGAGATTATTATATAGTATGGAGTTAATATACTTGATGTGATACCATACAAATTCTAGTTTCACATAATAAGACTATTTAACATAATAATGTGGGGGTTCTTACTAGCCATTCACATATCATGGTTTGTTAAAAAAATGATAGAGTAACAATACATGCCACTCTTAGCACTAGGCACAATTATTCCTCTTTTCTCAAGGCTCTTGTATCTGTCTCTCGCAAGGGTGCAACATGCCTACAAAATAATATAATATTTATAACATTAACAAATCTATATTTATTATCATTAAAAAAATCTAATTGTAAAAAATGCAAACATTGAGTTTCCTTAAAGAACCAATGATTTCTTCAGATAACAGCACTTGAACAGGTGCAGGTTCAAATTTGAAAAACATTCAACCCCAATTCTACACATTCAACCCTAAACTTACATTGCTATAAACAAAAAAATTGTTATTTTACAAATTCAACCCTAAACTTACTTGTGTCTCCCTAGATTTGAGGGACATGATTTTAGTCTTTCTTTTTTGGCAACAGCACGCCTTTCATGTCTCTTGCTTTTTTCTTCATCCTCTTTGGCAATTTCATCAATTATATCTGGTAAGTTGTAGTATATATTTAAAACCAAAACAAGTAAATATAATGAAAAGAAAAATGAAAATAAAAAACAAATCCAACTTAAAAAATAATCACCTATCAAGCTCTGTAGTGAACTTTTTTGTCTTTTTAGCTTCTGCTTGAATCTTCACATTGTTGCCCTATGTAGAAATATGAGCATTTAAAACTCACATCCTATAAATGAAACATGTAGGTGGATCCTGCTAATCCACCAAGAAACATTAAATAACTATGTTACCCAACCACATTTATAACCAAACTAGATAACCCCAATAAAACCCATAAGTTTATGAATTATGATGGATAACAATGCACAAAAGTAAAATGCAAACAATCAAACTCAACGAAATCGAAATAGAGAAAACAAGGCATAAAGGAGAAACATATCAAACCAAGTAAGTGATTACAAAGCATATACATACATTTTTAAGGTATAGAGGTAAGAGAAGCACCTGAAATCAAGGAGAAGAAGTCGGAAAGAGACACTGAATGGAAGAAGCTGATGTGAAATTGAACAGAACGTCCATTAAAGAATACTTCCATTCTTTAATGGAAGAAGCACCTTAATTTTGGAGCTCCATAACCTGCAGAAAAGATACCAGACAGAAATAAGTTACAGCAATCAGATGATCATACAAACTATTTTCAAAATACGAAAAGCACTAGTGATTTTAAGAGACAGGCTTCACAGTAAGTAACGTGTTGCAATCACATACAGGTGTTTTAAAGACTTCTCGAAAAGTAAATTATTTATGGATTAAAACCTAATTTTTGTAAGAGTAAGTAGTGAACATCCAGATATAAATCTTTTCATTTATTACAGTAGTTAGAGTTAGTAAATAAGAATATTAAGAGTGGAGTGAAGTAGCGTACCATAAACATCGGAAATCAGAACAACGGCGATCTTCGAATCAGTGTTTCCGTTAACGTAAGAATTAAGAGACGAGATTTGCAGGACATCACTAGATTCACAGCCCGAGGAGAGTGTAGGTGGGTTCTTGCAGCATTCAGGGCCAGACATTATGGACAATGGAGCAACTTGTTTAATACGTGCTCTGGAACAAATTCCACCATCACAGCCATTCGATTTTCTTTTACTTCATCTTCGCTTACATGTATGATCGACAAATCGGAAACACAGTTGTATCAAAAAATTCAAAAAACAAAATCGATTTCAACCCTTCGAAAACCCTAGGTAGCTACTATTTAATAAAATCACCATTGGTGAGGAATGTCATCGACCAGTCGATCCATAACACACCATCAGTATATTGTTTCTACGATTCATTGTCGGAGGTGGAATGAAGGGTAGAGATAGGTGGGATGAAGAGGGCGAGAGAGCGTATAGGTTGATGTGACTCAGTTCGATAAATGGGTATGAATTTTTTATAGTAAAATACCCCTGATTCATTTCAAAAACATGCCCCCGTGTCTTTTTTTCCTAGGTATTTACAAAAATACCACAAAACATCCTAACCATCATTTATTTTGATCTAACGATCCTCATTAGGTTCTCGGGTTCTCGGAAACTATAGGTTCTCAAATGATCCTTCCTCTCTCTCTCTCTCTCTCTCTCTGTATATATATATATATATATATATATATATATATATATATATATATATATATATATATATATTGATATATATGGAGAGAGAGAGAGAGAGATGTAAGTTCAATTGAGGAAAATAAAAAAGGTTGAGAATTAGGAAATCATTCTCAGGTAGTCATTTATTTTTTGTCTCAAAAGGCTCTATCCTACCGACAGAAATGGGAAAAGGGATACACATGCATTTTCCAACAAAACATGTTTCCTTAAACCATAATAATTATTACATTAATATATACAAAATCATAGTTTTTTTTTTCGTTTTTTTAATTTTGAAGGAGTTATTTTTATCGAAAAATGATTTTAAATATATCAAAAATCATAATTTTTTATTCTCTATAAACACATCCATATTGATATAATATGAAGATAAATTAAAATTTATATTTTTTTATAGTTTAAACTATCGTTATTCATAAGTGAATAAAAATGGATCAGATTTTTACTACAGTATATTCGTTATTCACTTATAAATAAAAAAAATATGATTACTTTTTTTGATGATTTAAGTATCATTTATATATGAATTTAACATATAATAAACTTTTTACAATTTACATTAACTCTCATCACATGTTATATTCACATATGAATAAAACATGTATTAGCTTTTCTCACAAGTTATATTCATATATGAAGAACAATATTATGATAATTTTGTTACAGTTCATTTGTTATTCATATATGAATAAGTAGTTCAAATTTTCAGAACACTTCGTCTTTTATTAACATACTACTTATCCCCTAATCTAATAAATAAGAGCATTTTTGCCACGTGGCATTCTCTTAGCCCCCTCCCCTCGATTTTTCCCGCTCCTATCATCTAACTGATTTTCCAAAATTGCCCAACCTTCCTCTTTTTATCTTTCCTTCTTGAACTCCTCTGATTCCACATCCATTTGAAACCAAATCAATTCCGTCAACATGAAATTAAAAGATGAATATCTCCGCTTATCGCCACCACTCCTACTCCACTACTGTTCTTCTTTTCTCTACGAATACCGCTTATCTCATTTGTAACTTACAGTTATAGATTTTCTTTTACGGAAAATCCTAAAATCCTCCACACATCTTCAACCCCGTTTCTCCCAAATCTCTTCGGTCTTCCTCCTTACTCTCTTCAATCAGGCCTCCGTAACCACCTGATGTCGTTGCTACCGTCACCCTCCTCCTGATGTTGTCATTACTTCCACGGCCACCCCTCTACCGCCCCGCTTCTACCTTAAGTCAAAATGAGAAACCGTAAGTCTATCTCGCCGTCACTATCAACACCACCATCACACACCGTTAACTGGAAAACCTAACACTAAAGTGGCTCCACCGTCCCCACCAGGCACCACTTAATATTCTGATCCTGAAGAACATGACCTGTGAAGCTTTTCATTATGATCCAAGAACTAAAGTTAGCGAGTACTGAGGTAATTTTCTGATTGCCTAAAGGTGTAATTTCTTTCCAGAAGGTAGCAACGAGTTTGTTTGTGAAGGTTCAATTTTATAGATTTCTTCATTTCATACTTCTCATTGACAATATTTTTTCCATTCTTTGTCTGACTTTTAACAGAGAAATGAGAAAAAGGGTTTTGTTTCTTCAGAAAATTTTCTCCCTCGACAGTTTCAGGTATATGGTTCTTCGGCTCGAATTTATCTTCCTTTTTTAATGTCTTAAATCTTAGAGTAATTGTATATATACAGATTGAGTTGCTCTATGATTTTGCTTCTATATGTTTGTTTTTAGTCTGACAGGAGTTTGATTCATGATTTAATGGGGATAAGAAGAAAGCCAAATAGCCAACACACGTGAGTAATAGCTGTTTGGAGGAAAAAGAAAGGGTAAACTACAAAGAATGGTAAGAAAATCTAGATATATTAGTAACTGTGCCTCACGCTCACTGGTAGGAAGTTTTTTTTTTGTTGAAGAAAATAAATATACGTATGTTGAAGGAGGAGGAGAAAATAAACATGACAGTGAATGGCAATGTGCAACCATCAATGTGTGTGTGTGCTTAGTGTTGATGGATTAGCAACATGTTTTGTGACAAAAACCAATTTTAAAAATAAAACCGGTTGCATTTTTTTTATTATAAAAAAACGATTATTGGAAAACCGGTTTGGTTTTTTTAGTTTTTTTTTTTTGGAATTGAACGGTTGTTCAAAAATCATTTTTTTGGTTTAAAAACCACCGGTTTAATTTTTGTTAAAACTGGTTTTCAACATAACTGGTTCGGTTTTTTACTTCCGGTTAAAAAAAACAGTTCACTTTTTGCATCTCTACATTACACACATACTTTCTTGCTAACAGCATTGGTTGGTGTGATAACTAGAAGCAATTTGTCACAAAACAGAAGTTTAAGATTAACTTATTTTTCTTTCTAATTTGGCTATTTAATATCCCCCTCCCCTCCCTGTTGTTTAATAGTTAAAAAAGAAAATTAACAAAACACCCTTTATTTAGTTGGTCTTGCAGGTGTACCACATGACGAAACACCATCTCTTTAGTTGTCTGCTTCTTGAGATTATCCAATGCCAACAATTTTGGTAAGTTTTTTGCATTCTCATAATTTTTTTAATCTAATCTTGAAAAAATCCACTTATAAGTTTTGACAGAGGGGTAAATTGGTCAATTTAACTTTCTTTGTTTTTTATTAGCAAATTCAAAATAAGTCTTTTCAAGAACAAGTATCCAACTTTATAATGTAAGATGAAAAAGGGCAATATGATCTTTTTCATTGCCAGGAACTAGTGTTCATAATCTAAAACATGTAGACACATAAGTAAATTCAGAAGAACCTCTTGTGATCCAATAGCTGAGAATCAATTTGTTACCTCTTGTGATCCAATAGCTGAGAATCAATATGTTATATGTACATGAGCTTTTTCAGTAGGTTTTTGAAATTGTGTAGGGGCTTTGTTTTCTTGAAACCTCTAAGGCCGAACTGAGTATTCTATCTTTAGAAGCCCATCTCTTTTCTTCATACTTTTCCTTAATCAAGTTCTCAATGCAAACCCTGTCATAGTTTCTACTTTCGAGGTAGTTCTGCTTCCACATAATGATGCTAGTATTTGTTTGCAAGAAGAAATGTGTGACAGGGAAACGAGGAAGACAAACTGGACGATCGTGAGGAAGAGGGTCACAGGTAAAATAAGATCATGTTATTTAATTACCAATAATGATTTAAAATTATAAAAAAGGATTATTAAGTAATAAAAACTATTAAAAAAATAGATTCGGGCAAAATTGATATTATAAAACATTAAGAAAGGTAAATATGATATTTAGAGTTTAAGTCGGACAAATACAATATTTACCTATTTAATAACAACTAGGTGGGAAACCCCGCTCCGCGGGGTTCGGTTTTGACCGTAGTTTTCGTCTTTTGATAATCGAATCAGTAAAGCCATCTTCAAAATCACATACAGACCAAAGTTAAAAGGGCCCAAGTTAAAATTCTAAATTTTGTATAATCCACATAAAATTTACAATTTTGTTCTTCTATAGAATCAACTTGGTAGGATTCCAATTTGAAGGCACTACATGAACCTCCCAAATTCAAATTGGTGAATTATCAGTTCAAAACCAAACATGTGCCACTTGTTTTCCTGTTGAACCTACACTAGAAACAACCATTGGCTGAAAGTGAAAGTAATTGACTACTTCATTGGTCAATGGTCATCACATTTTATTTATTATGTTCAATTACAAAAATTTATTAAAGTCATTATATGTAAGAGCTGAAAGTTGTATCTTTATATAAGTTCATAAGAATCATACAACTTGCCTAATTGCACCTAGTCCAAATACGACCACTGTAGTTCCAGTTTTCACATTTACAGCTTTCCAGGCAACAGCTACCCCTGAAAAAAAAGTATTTTCATAAACTCAATTGCCCAAATGCATGATCTATTAATGTTCATTCATTTTATTACCGATCTATATATTAAACATAGTAAAAGGAACATAAAAATTAACAAAAGTTACCTGGTGATACTACAAATCAACGAATAATGGCGGTGACAAATTCACCTAAAAAAAGCTTCATTCTTGACATGTAGATTCATGTAGGTATTCCAGCGAACAGCTGCTGTGCAACAATAAAAAATAAAAACAAAATTAGAAAATGTAATCTTAGACAACAAAAACACAAACATAGCATTAGTCCGGTATAGAAGTTACCTTAAAGAATGGTGAAGTTGTGAAATCGGAGATTAAATCCGACGGCTGGTGTATCCATGGTTCTTTCCTAAATGAGAATGCACTTGGGGCATTTCACTCGTAAAAATGGAAAAAAAATACATATAAATTGAAAGTATGTTGCCATTTGGGTCATTTTACTAGTAAAAATGGACAATGCACCTAATAGCAATGTAGTTTGGTTTTTGGAAAAAAATAAATAAAAGAAATTACAAAAAAAAACCGAAGAAATGTGTAAATTCAAAGCTCGTTGCTATTTATTGCATTTAGCACGTAAATATGGAAAAGCAAAAAATGACTATGTACTTTGTTTTTTGGTAAATGAATAAAAACAAAATGCAAAGTATATCGCTATTTACTCAATTTACTATTTAAATATATTCAACATCAATCTGAGTTCAAAATCGTTGAAATCAAAAAAAGATAGACTATAAAAACGATATGCAAGAGTAGTGTCATCCAAAATTGTTAAATTCAAATTTTTTAAGTATAAAAACATTATGCAAGGGCATTTTCGTCCAAAACTGTTAAAATAAAAGTTAGTATGCAGGGGCAGTTTGGTCTAAAACTGTTAAA